TTTTTACAGTTCTCTTTTCCTAAAAGCTCCATTTTAACATTATTTCATAGAGTGATCACCCCTTCGAGATACGTACAGCATTTCTATCAAAATTTTCCCATGACCTGAGATGGATCTCATTTGTTTTCAGGGTCCTCACAACTCCCAAAAATCCAGTCACAAATTCTTTCACAAGGCTAGTCAGTCATAAGTAATACAGGGTGAACAATGACAAATGAAGGGTTGTTGTTAAAGTTCACTTGAATAGCTTGTGACTTGGCTAAAGAGTTGATGACATCTGAATGACTTACGATGGACTTAATCGGGGGTGTGGTGAAGGCACTTTTTTGGGGGTGGTGGTTTATGCTAGAGTCAATTTGCCAGCTTAAATTTGCTCGACAATCTCGTGTTGTGTAAAATGGAAATCTGGAACATTCATTTCATACTTCGGGGGGATGCCGACGGCAAACAGAATGTATATCGTTTATGTACATATGTACCAATTTTAGATTCATTTGCCGACTGAAGCTCTATTTGCCTAATGGAATTTATTCGGTGGGTGCTACCCGTCGCTACGCCCCTGCTGGTAATGGACTTGTGATGGGCACAAGTGCCACACTCTTGTCTTGCTTTTCTCATGGCTTTGAATATCTCTAGCCTTACCTCCAGCCTATCTTCTTCTTGCTTTTGAAGCCTTCTGCACATCATATTAGTAACTTCCACTGCAAAGAAAGGTCGTACATGGTACTGGCTTCAATTAGATCAAGGACTGGCTTGCTGCCAAGAAACGGCTAGAAAAATGGCTTTTGAGTCTGATATAAAGCCAAGACAAAACCTCGGATTTGGAGAATTGCCTTACATTGTTCCAGTGCCTCCTGGCAATGCTTGTCCATCAGACTGCTGCACCCTGGGAAGATCTTCTCGTTCAAGTCTTTCATCTGAGTGGCGATGCGCTCCAAGCGCTTCTGCTCTCTGTCATTCCGCTTGCCCTGTGTTTGTAAATGTCGCATTAAAAACGGGTTAAAGAAACAGTAAATGAACAGAAAGTTGAAGAAAAACCCTAATAGAATGATCTCTTTGTGTTAGGCCAAAATGAGCAGGGAGCCAGTTGCAAGTTACAGAGTTGGCATGGTGCTTTGGTTGTTAACTCACTTGTGCTACACCTGTACATGTAGACAGAAACAAATTTTGTTCACCTCAAATTCCTTGATGAAGAATCGGATTTCTCCCTGGATGACCGGTTTGTGGTCCAGCAGCCGGGCATGGATCTCACCCAGATCTGAAAAAGTGAAGCATCTGTGATTTTTAACATGCTTGCCTCCGGTTAAATCCAAACTTGATGGTGCAAGTCCAAATTAACATAGTGAACAATGCTTGTGTTGGTCTGATCAGTTGATCGGTACAATTGCTCGATCTTTGAGTAATCTTCCAATCTTATTGTACAATTTGCCGATAATTTGGTCATCAGTAATCACCTTTTCTTTCTGATTCGTGGCTGTGAAAGATTTTTTTTAAAAAAGGAAGTTAAGTTGAAGACTTCATACAGTATTGACTAGTACAGCACAATGTGATCACACAGTCGTGCAGATGGAGCATCTCTGAGTAACTCAAGCCCAGGTTGGACGATGTCTTCATGTACAATGAATTTTTGAGAAATTTTCACCAGAAGCAGACCACCCCTAAAATGCAGAAAATGTCCCTGTCCAGAAAAGTAGCCATTTTGAAAAACCCTCCCTCGGCAAAATGGCTCAAATAGTGCACACTGCAACTACATGTGAGATCTAGGCAGGGGTACCAAGTCATCGTGCCACAGCGAACTTTTTTCAACATTTTTCCAACTTTTATCTGACAACAATGGTAATTTTGTTGACATATTCCTTATGTCCAGAATTATATAAATTGATGCTTGATCTAGAGTAAGTAAATATGAATGTCCTCGGGCAATGTGCTTGCAGAAAATACATCAGTTCCACACTTCCACTGTAGACATCCAACTTAGCGTTACAACGCGTTATAACTTTATATCCATGTTATTACTGAGCATCGGGCATGTCGGGACTACTTGCAGACAAAGGAGCTTTTATCACATGCCTTGCAAGATTCGAACCATCCAAGGATCGCCACAGTAACTGCAAATATTATGCACATAAGCGGAGCCAGGTGTGCTATTGCATGGACGCCGTAGAACGTTATTACATCATAATAGGGTCATTATAACGCCATAACAGGGCGTTATTACACCTTCAAATTGGGTGTTATAACGCCATAATAGGACATTTTTTTGCCTGAAAATAGGGGTTATAATGCCATATTAGGGCGTTATAATGCCGTATTAGGGCGTTATAATGGCGTAATAGGGCATAATAATGCCGTATTAGGGGGTTATAATGCCGTATTAGGGCGTTATAATGGCGTAATAGGGCATAATAATGCCGTATTAGGGGGTTATAATGCCGTAATAGGGCGTTATAATGCCGTATTAGGGCGTTATAACGCCCTAAACTAAAAAACGTGTGTTCCTGGCGAAGATCAGCCACCGTAAAGTACAGATGGGCCTAAGTAAAATGGTCAACAACACTGTCAACAGATGGCATGTCGATCATGACTACGTTAGTGCATTAGGGTACATGTACATGTACATGCGGGCCCAGTCTGTGAAAGAAAAACAACAATTTTAAATTTAACTTTTTGCCACGCCCGTACATGTACATGCGATTCCCAGCAACCGGTAGGTGGCGCTATACATCTGCGCTTCATCATTCATGACAACACGCTGTAGGGTGCATCCTCGTATTTCGGCCAGAAATATGTCCGCCGAGCTCATTAATAAAAGTTATACACTCAAAATATTCTATATTGGAGGGTCCTGAGAGCCATGGAAGTGAGGAATTGAAGAAATATGAGACTGGACCTCTGGGCCGGACTCGGGGCTTCCAATTCTGAGCAATTTGGATGCAATCGGGTTTGAAAGTGGTAATATTTGAGCCATTTTGCCGACGGAGGGTTTTTCAAAATGGCTGCTTTTCTGGACAGGGACATTTTCTGCATTTTAGGGGTGGTCTGCTTCCGGTGAAAATTTCTCAAAAATTCATTGGTCAACCCCCCGAAAATTGAAAGGAAAATGAAAGAAGAC